AAAAAATAGCATATTTTTAAATACGGTAGCCTTTTGCGCATAGAAGATAGGTCGTCGGGACAAATTTTTTTTTTCATTTAGTAGTACATAAAATAAGCTTTAATTGGATTTATGTTTAAAGGACGCAGAGTATATCCGGAACATTTTCAAATTAAGTTGAAAAAGTTAGTTTTTGTATAAAAGTTGCTATTTTAAATCCCCCCTGTGAGCAGAATAAGTGTTAGATTTTCAAAAAAAAATGACATCAAATGAAAGGAAATTACCTAAGGTTTCTATATAAAGAAATATTATTTTGATTAGTTAATATTTAAAAAAGTTAAGGGAGTTTTAAGTACAAAAAACATTCCGATAGAAGGTGATTTTTATCGTAAACATTACATTTTTTTTTTAATTTCGACAGCCATTTGCACATAGAAGATAAGATGTCGGGACAAATTTTTTTTTTTATTTTATAGTACATGAAATAAGCTATAATTTGATATATGTTTAAAGGACGCAGTATTTCCGGAACATTTTCAAAAATTAAGTTGAAAAAGTTAGTTTTTGTATAAAAGTTGCTATTTTAAATCCCCCCTGTGAGCAGAATAAGTGTTAGATTTTCAAAAAAAAATGACATCAAATGAAAGGAAATTACCTAAGGTTTCTATATAAAGAAATATTATTTTGATTAGTTAATATTTAAAAAAGTTAAGGGAGTTTTAAGTACAAAAAACATTCCGATAGAAGGTGATTTTTATCGTAAACATTACATTTTTTTTTAATTTCGACAGCCATTTGCACATAGAAGATAAGATGTCGGGACAAATTTTTTTTTTTTATTTTATAGTACATGAAATAAGCTATAATTTGATATATGTTTAAAGGACGCAGTATTTCCGGAACATTTTCAAAAGTTCAGTTGAAAAAGTTCTATTTTTTATACAATGTTTCAAAGTTTGAACCCCCCCTATATAAAGGGAAATTGTCTAATTTTAATAAAAAGTATGTCAAATGGAAGATGTACTTATAATGTATTTAGAAAAAAAAAAATTGTGCTGATACATGCATTTTTCGAAAAGTTATAGCATTTTTAAGTTGAAAATTAAAAATTGAAAATCGAAAATTTTAACACAAAAATAGTGTTTTTTTAACTACGGCAACCGTTTACATGCAGAAGATAAAGTGTCGGGACAAATTTTTTTTTTTCATTTTATAGTACATAAAATAAGCTTTAATTTGATATATGTTTAAAGGACGCAGTATTTCCGGAACATTTTCAAAAATTAAGTTGAAAAAGTTAGTTTTTGTAAAAAAGTTGCAATTTTAAATCCCCCTCCCATGAGCAGGCTAAGTATTAAATTTTCAAAAAAATTATATCAAATGAAAGAAAATTATCTAAGGTTTTAGTTTAAAAAAAAATTATGTTGATTTGTTGATTTTTCAAAAAGTTATGGAAGTTTTATGAAAAAAAAGTGAAAAAATTTCGAAAATTAGCAATTTTTTAATTTGTATTTTTTTTGGATATTTCCCCCAATTGCGAGGAACGAGGGAAAATCATGCATCTACAAAAAAAGAATTATATTGATCCATACATCTTTCGAGAAGTTATAGCATTATAAAGTTAAAAATATAAAAAAGAATTTTTTTACAAAAATCGTATTTTTTTTATTAAGTTTAATGTCTGTTTTCACCATGAAGATAAAATAAAGTCCGAAATTTTTTTTTACCATTATAAAGTATATTACATTAGCTTTAATTTAAGATATATATAAAAGTGTCAGACCTTCCGGAACACTTTCAAAAGTTACGTTGAAAAAGTTCTACTTTCTATATGCATTTTTATGTTTTGAATCCCCCCTGTATTTAGGGAAATGGTCCGATTTAAAAAAACAGTATGTCGAATGAAAGATCTATATAAATACTACTTCTCATAAAAAAATTGTAATGATTCATACATTTTTCAAAAAGTTATAGCATAATAAAGTTAAAAATGGAAAATACAAAATCGAAAATTTTCACACAAAAATAGCATTCGGTAGCCATTTTCACCATGAAGATAAGATAAAGTCCGAAATTTTTTTTTTTCATAATAAAGTATATTACATTAGCTTTAATTTAAGATATATATAAAAGTGTCAGACCTTCCGGAACATTTTCAAAATTTAAGTTAAAAAAATTAATTTTTTGTGAAAAAGTTGTCATTTTAAATCCCCCCTTGTGGGCAGGTTAAGGGTTAAATTTATGAAAAAAATATACCAAATGAAAGGTAATGATATTATGCATCTATATAAAAAAGAATTATATTGATATGTTCATTTTTGAAAAAGTTATGGCACTTTTAAGTAAAAAAAATTGAAAAAATTTCGAAAATTAGCGATTTTTAAATTTGTAATTTTTTTGGAGGTTTCCCCCATTTACGGGGAACGAGGGAATTTTTTTCAATTTTTAAGGGTAATGTCTTCGACTAGATACGATTTGTGATCTTTTGACGTATTATTGAAAGAAATCGGTTCGGTGAGAGCTGAGAAAAAGTGGTAACAGACACAAAAAAAAAAAAAAAAAAAACACATCTTAGTAAAACCAATACCTTCTCAGCTTCGCATCGAAGCTAAAACACATCATAATAAAATAATACCTTCTCAGCTTCGCATCGAAGCTAAAAGGGATTATTAAAAAATATTATTTCTCATAAAAAAATTATATTGATCCATACACTTTTCAATAAATTATAGCATTATAAAGTTAAAAACGTAAAATACAAAATCGAAAATTTTCACACAAAAATATCATTTGGTAGCCATTTTCACAATGAAGACAATATAAAGTCCGAAATTTTAATTTTCTATAATAAAGTACATTACATTAGCTTTAATTTAAGATATATATAAAAGTGTCAGACTTTCCGGAACACTTTCAAAATTTAAGTTGAAAAAGTTGTCATTTTGAATCCTTACCTGTAGGCAGGTAATTTGACATATTGTTCATCAAAATCGATCCAGTGAGAGTTGAGATTGAGCGTTCACAGACACAAAAAAAAACACATCTTATGTAAAATTAATACCTTCTCAGCTTCGCATTGAAGCTAAAATACGATGTGATAAAAACATACGTTATTATTTATATAACCATAGTAACCATTATTTACTGTTTTATAACTTACAATAATGAATATTGAGCTATTATTTGAAACCTAATATTATATATTGTTATTAAAATCAACAGCCTATTACTTTTACTAAACATGGGTGTATGTTTAACATTTTATTTATTAGTTTTTACACAATTTATCAGTAAATTACTAATTTTGACTATTTTATGTAGGATTTAAAAGCAACCACTGTTAAAGATGCGATAAAAAATTGGGAAGAAGTAAATAATGAATCAGCTTCCGAAGCAATATATGTTGGACTTCAATTTCAATGGCCACCAATAGAAAAAATGGATAACAGTTTATCTGTCTTAACAAAGTGTGAGTAAGTTTATTAAAATAAATTTTAATATATTATAATTTAAATTTCTCTAATTTAAATTTTTCTAAGAAAACTGTCATTAAGTACAAATATGATCGAGAAAATTACAGGATTATCAGCATTGCGAAATCTAAAAATTTTATCCTTAGGGCGCAATTATATTAAAGCCTTTACGGGGTTAGAACAGTTGTCTGATACTTTAGAAGAATTATGGATTTCATATAATTTAATAGAAAAAATGAAAGGAATATTGGGTATGCGAAAACTTAAAATTTTGTACATGTCAAATAATAATGTCAAAGAATGGGCTGAAGTAATTAAATTGGCTGATATGGAAAGCCTTCAAGACTTTTTATTTGTTGGTAAGATAAGAAATTTTAAATATGAAAAATAAACAATAAAAAAGTTGTTAATAAATTTTAATTAAAACCACTTATTGTAAAATAAAAATTAATCAAAACATGAAGCCTTGAAAATACAATATCTGAAATCATTAACAATCCCGTGTTAAGAAGGAGGCGAACGCTCCGGGGCCCGCGAGTTATGTATCCATATCGAATTTTACTAGCCAAGTTATAATTAGTGTCAGTTTTTTATTCTTATCGCTATTTTTATATTACTGATATTTTTTCCATATTTATAATTGTTTAAGACTTAGGGGTATATTATAAAATAAATGAATATAGTATTTATTTAAAATATTTTATCTATCTATAAAGATGAAATATCGTATTTTCATATTTAGATGTTCCACCCGGTTTTGATATCTTACATGTAATCCAATATGTCACGATCGCACTAATTTTCGTCTCAACGAACGACGTTTATATATATGTATATATATATACACAGGGCTGTACAATTTTAGTTACAATTGTTGACGATTCACCCAAAACAAAATGTCAATGAGTTAACACGTAATCCAATATGGCACGATCGCACTGAAAATAATAGCATCCCACAGGAAAAACGAACAGTTAAAGTATCCGTCCGAAACGCAACAGAACGCAATATCCGTAATCCATACTCGGCGGCGGCCTTATCTCGGTGTCAAGGGCGGGGAGACAACCGATTGTCATATTAATAGCTGGACGTCTGATATCGCGAGAGACACGGGTGAGCGCCAGCTTAAACCGACGGGCGGTGCCGTGTCATATCTTTTGATCCTATTATCATTTTGTTGAAGTGTTCTTTTTTATTAATTTTTGCCTACATAGACTACATTCAAATCGTATTTTTTATTATTTATCACTACAGGTGCACTAAATTAACAAATAAACAAAAAAATTGTAAATTTAATTTCTAAGATTAATTAGCTGTTATTATTGTTTTTATTAATAAAAACAAATAATAAAAAATGTGGTTATAGTTTAGTCCAAAATGCATTAATTATTTAAAATAAAAATTCAAACGAAATATTAAATGTATCAATAGTTATATAAGTTATCAATTTGATTTCTACCACCTGTAAATCAAAATTTTGCGGGATCTAAATGTAATAAAATTAAAATTTTTTTAGTTACAATGTGTTATTTCTCTTCAATTAATTAAATTTAATTATTCTAGCTGCTCTAAATATTTTACCAATTGGAAATACAAATTCAAAGATTTATTAAAATATATGTAATTAAAACTTGTTTTTTGATAGTCTTGAAAATCTGTAAACCCTGTATGTTCTATTTCAGTATAAACGGCAATAAAATATATGGGTCAACATATATCTTCAATGAATACATTGTATTATATATACATATTTTTTTAATTTTAATAAGTATTGATATAACTATACTTATACTTAGTAGCATAATAGCAACCAAAGATGGTTGAAAGAGTAGTAGGTGCCGTTGTACCCTTAGGATTCGTGTCACTAAAGAAAAATCTAGCATTCGTAACATACAATCTTAGCCATTAAATGTATTGATTTAAATGCATTGAGATTTATCAATATAAAATAGTTTCTGCGGCAACAGTAACATACAGAATTCTAAAAATTAGAGGCGTTATTTGGGGGAGGAAGGTCAACTTTGTACGATTTACGTTTAGGAAAAAAATTAACGGTTTATTTATAGATTTATTTTAAAAATTAAGTTTTTAATATTTTAATAATGAAGGTTAATAGGTATACCGATAAATATTAAGCAGTAATTGATGGAGTGTAGCAAGCGCGTATTTAAATTTATTTTTCTAGTGCTAATGAAATTTTTAAAATCATTATTGATGAAGTTTTTACACAAAATCCTTCTAAAACTACCATTTTTAGAAAAAAATTAGGTCACATAAATTT